TTATTGGTTTTGTGAGAATTAATAGCGCTTTTCATCAAACACTATTAAAAAAATATCACTAATTGTTAATTTTCAACGACAGTTTAAAAATTGTTACAAAAAATGTTATTAATTATAAGTTTTAACGACAGTATAAAAAATTCATCACAAAAAAAATCACAAATTGTAAATATTAGTGACAATTAATAAAAATCGTGACAACAAAAAGTCACTAATTATCAATTTTTAGCGACATGTAAAAAATAGTCACAAAAATTATTTTTAACTATGATTTTACAATAATTTATTTTCAATAAAACTTGATAGGAATTAAATCAAATTATTAGAATTTATTAGTAGTTTATCCTATTTTTTATTGACACACTATTTGTTTCAGAACCAAAATCATTTTTTACTAATAAATTTTTTTTAAAAATATTTTCAGTAAAAAATATCTTCTTATGTTTGGTTGAATCTTTAAAATTAAAGTGTTCATAATTGTAGTAGCATGACAACGAACGTCATGATGCTGGTGTTGGTGCTAGTGCTGAGAGTAGGAGTGGTGGTATTAATAAAATTTTAGTTTAGAAAATATTTTTTATTTTTTAAAAATAAAAATTACTTTTGGTTCAAATAAATTTGTTTTTTATACTAATCAGAAAAAATATTTTAGTTCACTTTTTATTATACAAAATACCATAATTTTTCAAAATCACCCAGACAAGCAGAGCGTCATAACATTTGGATGCGCCCTTGAATAATTTACAAATTAAAAATAAAAATTAAAAATTAAAAAAAAAAAATTGAATAAGTTGAATAAGTAATTCCAATAAGTACAATGCCTCACTCATGTTTTGAGAATTAATTTTTTCAATAATTTTTAAATTTTTTATAAAAGATTGTTAAAAAATAATAATAATTTTTTAGAATATTTCTTTAACTTTTTTAATGAAAATAGTAACTTTCCAAAATAGGCCTCATTGGGGAGCAAGGATCCTCTAGAGTGATTTTTCCCTAAAGTTTCCTAAAGTGCTACAGTGTATGGTTGAGATTTACTGACAAGTCACATCAATTTTTCTGATGTGACTTGCCAGTAAATCTCAACCACACAATATAGCACTCTAGGAAACTTTAGGAAAATTTCACTCTAGAGGATCCTTGGTGCTCATTGGGTGGCCGTTTAATCCAAAAGGCAACTAATCCAACTCATTTTGTTTGGATACTGGTACTTATATTGTGGGCTGCGCTTCTTTCCAAATCGAGATCAAATTGGAGCGTACTATTAGATTTGTGGAGATTTACTGAGTCTTGTTCAGATGATTTTTTATCAATAATAAATATAATTTTTAAAATAAATTGTTAACAAAAATTCGATCCGATCAAGTAATTATCATGATCCGATCAACATGATTTTTTACAAGAATAAAGTATTTGACGAACTCCATAAATTGAACAGTTCAAATTATTAACATAGAATCCGTAGTAGAAGCCATAAGCTCAATAGCACTGTCTAATTCATAAAGTGAACGAAAACAAGCTTTGCATTACCTTATATATTCTTTCTTCGTTGATGCCAAATCTAACTCGAAAACTTCAAGTTACACTGCTTAGCCATAAATCAAGAATTTACGGGCAATCAATATCTACACGATACGTTATCCAAATATTAAAAGTAAGTTACACTTTTTCTCTCTCTAAAATGTCTTTTCCTTTAATCTTTTCTAGTTCGGAGTCTTCTTCACCAAATAACATATTTTGAGGATCTAAAGCAGCAGTGATGGATGAACCCGTATTGCAGTTGCCAGATCACACTAAGCCATTTGAAGTAAACATGGATGCATCAGACTATGCCATAGGCGGTGAGCTAGTTTAATAAGGTAAGCCTATCAGAGTCGAAAGCTCAATGAGACCACGAGACGCTGTCCAAGAAAGGAGATGACAACAATAGTGCACTACTTGAGAATGTGGAGGTGGGTCACGATTCGCGATCAAGACAGATAATGTGGTGACAAGTGACTTCTTGCCCTAGAAGAAACTCACGCCAAAACAGGAACGATGGCAAGCAAGACAAACTTGCCAAGTTTGATTGATATGGTGCTAGAGTATAAACTTGGATGCACTAACCAGGTCAATCTCATATCACGGCTGAAAAAGTCTAAAAACAACACGGACAATAATGTTGATGATAGAGAACTCTAAGTCGAAGAACAATGAAGAGATGAAATCAACAACTATTTCTCATAAAATACAAGTTTTCGAACCAAATCAGAATTTTAAAAAAAATGATTTTATTTATGGATGAGATTAATTCAAAGAATTTTTCATTTTCAAACTCACAAAACCCACTTTTTAATAAACTAAGCAAGACCCTTATCATTTTGTTGTCTGTCTTTATTTTCCACTATCATTGTACGAGCACGAAATAATTCTTCTCGTATGACCCTGTTGATCAAGTTTGCGCTCCTCCAAACAATGTTGTTTTACCACCTGAAAACACAAACGTGAGTTAACCGGCGGGTGTGTGCCGGAAACCCCTCCGATGCTTAAGTCAGCAACTAGACAATAGACAATATGCTATGTGTATTCTAGAGTAAGAATTGGGATACCTGTCCATAGGTCTAGTCATGAGCTTTTATAGACTTTATTTTGGCACAATCCTAGTAGGATTCCAACTCTCCCTATGAGAGTCCTCCTAGGAATCACACACCCTACTCACTACCAACCAAGTGAGATGGTTTTGCACAATCCTAGTAGGACTCTACTCTCCTTAGCAGAGTCCTCCTAGGAGTCATACTCTTACTCACTACCAACCAAGTGAGATGGTTTGCACAATCCCAGTAGGACTTTACTCTCCTTAGCAAAGTCCTCCTAGGAGTCATACTCCTACTCACTACCAACCAAGTGAGATGGTTTACACAATCCTAGTAGGAATTTACTCTCCTTAGCAGAGTCCTACTAGGAGTCTCATCACTGCAAGCCAAGTGAGATGGCTGAACCCTTTTCCTCGGTTATACATTTCTGACCAAACTACCTTATCTCGGTCCCTTGTCATTCGGACCGTGTGATCGAAAGCCAATCTATCGAATGCCACCCTACCGAGCTACACACAGCTCGACTCTCGCTATTGATGTTACCTCGGTTTTGTCTATTTAGACTGAGGTAACTGCAGCAGTCTCCGACCGAACTAACAAGGATGAGGTCCAACTTGCGAAGCCCAAACACCTCGGCCCATAGTTCGGCCTAAATCCGAAATATGAGATGTCTTCTTGGCCTAAGACCGAGCTATACCAGCCCTTATCTCGGCCCATTGCGCGGCCCAACTTCCAAAGAAGACTTTTCCTAGCTCGGCCTAATTTATTTACAAATTATCCTCTCAATTTTGTTGTATTTTTGTGGATGGTGACTAGTGATGTTTGTGAATAATATTTTTTCTTTTAATTATTTGATGGTGGTATTTATCAATTAAAAGAATCTGTTTTGAGTTTATGTTAATTGCGAATGGTAGTGTTTGTGATGGTGGGTGCTGGGCAGGACTCGGGTGGGAGAGAATTTTGAGAACCAAATAGAAAGCGTTAATTTGAGGAGTTCAGTATCCTCTGTATGATTTTCTTGCAAGTGATCCTGTAGTGCCGGCAAAATGATGTCGTTTTGCTACTTTTCTTTTCTTTTTTTTCCTTTTTTTTCCAGCTCCTTATCACAACCCCATCATCGTCTTCGTCTTCATCTTCAATTTCATATTCGATGGAACAAGAAAAATTATACAATAGTCTCAGTATGTAGTCATACTCTTTCATTAATCATCATTCATTATATCCGTTTACATTTCTCAATTACTTAACACAAATAATTAATATTTCACATTTTTTACCAATCATACTATTATGAAATATCATGTGACCATACTCGCAAACTACTCAATAATTACCCAAAAGATAATATCTTACTGTGGGCCATACTTTTTGCTTATGTGTCAAATACATATTGGTGGTCCGTAAAAAACATTTCACGGCGCAAGGCTTCGTTTGGAAACATATTATTTTAATAATTTTTTAATTTTTTAAGAAATGATATAAAAACAAATAAAAAGAGTGTTATGATAATTTATAGTGATTTTTTAACTTTTCAGCTAAAATGTTTAGTCCCAAACAAAACTATTCCCTTCTTGTTTAGCCTAGTACTAGGCTAAACACTAACTAGTTAGTGTTTGGGAAATGACTCTTTTCCATATCCTTATTCTTCATATTTTATTTTATAAATTTTATTTTAGACTCACAATAATAATTTGAGCTGCTTATCTTGTAGTTTTGATAATAAACATAAATTATTCAAAAAATCAATTTAATCATATATTATTAGATACTAGAATAAAAATATATTTTATTTTTTAAAAATATACGACAATTATTAATTTAAACATGGAAGAACATTTTATTCGACATCAACTAGGGAAAATTATTCAATAATTCTGGAACACCACGTGGTCATACTTTAAGCTAATCATCAATTACTTAGTCACTTGTTGTTCCGCATCCCTAACATAAATGGTGGACCCCCTACCCTTCTCTACCAATCAAAACCTTATGGAGCACCACATGTCCATACTCTGAGAATACTGAATAATCACCCACCAAGCAGTTGGGTGATCAAAATTTAAGTGTTTTTTAATGAATTTGTAATTCACCACCAAATTATATTGAAAAAATTATATATAAGTAAGATATTTACAAAATATTTATAGCGAAAAAGTTTATGAATTTAATATTAATGTTTATAAAATTTACTGTTAATTTGATTTTTTTTTTTTGAAAAAAGAAAAAGAAACAGAGTTGTAATTTTTCCAATTATATTTCAGTAATATTACAAAATCATAAATTTTACCTCAAATTTTACTCGATAGTATCAATTTATTGCTCAAATTCATTCATATTTCAACACACATTACCCCAATTCAATCTTTACTATACAAACATATCACCCAAAAAAATCTGAGATGATATGGGACAACAACATTTCCGATTATATTCTTGGTCTATTTTAATTTTTTTATAATAATAAAAAAAAAATTATACAAAAACACATAGAACACTGTTATTCAAGAATTTGATTTAAGAATCAAACTCAATCTTGACACCACCAATAGTGACAGCATCAGACCCATATCTAGGGACCAAAGTCACCAGCACGCTCTCATCATCTTCAGCTTCCAAGTCCTCCAATAGCTCAGTTATCCCCAACCTCAAACTAGTCCTTATCTTCTTGTCATGCTTATGTTTACGCGGCACATTCACAAAGCTTCCGGCGAACTCTGTCTTCTCCGGCCCACTTGCCGCCTCGTCTTCGTCGTTAATAAACACATCAAACTTCACAGACACATCTCTCTCCATCTCTATCCCCTCCACTACCACCACCTCCTCCTCTTCTTCCTTCTCTCTCTCACTCCTCGACTTCGTCGGCCGCTTCACCACCACCTTCACCACCTCATCAAGCTTTCTTGGGAATACAATGGCAGCAGAATCCAGTGTCTCTGTCGCCATTGCTATCCCGGCCTTGTTCTTTATTTTTCGAAAAAAAATTGAAATACGAGGACTGGGTCGAGCGTTTAGCCATGGAATTTCCACGTCTTGGTAGACGTAGCCGAGTTTTCGATGATCCAAACTCTCTTTTACTTTTACAGTCACAAGCTGAGCATTTTCGTCGTAAAAGGTGAACTCTGAATTCAAACAATCCGAATCCTTGAAATCGTTTCGTTTTCCTCCTAATGTCTTCCACACCGTCCAGATCCGATCGACGTTCGCGTGATGACCGTAGAAGATCGGATCTCGTCCCGCAGAGTAGAAGTTCCCCATGTCTTCTAGATTCGGCTGGGTGCGGTCCCCGCACCATATGTGAACCGGACCATGCGGGATGTTCTCCAGGGACCCGGCACCTGGGTCCGGGTCATCTCCCGCACGGTACGAGCTTCCAAGGAAAAGCCGAGGCGTTTTCCCACCCGACACCACTTGTCGGTACATTATAGTTAGATTTCTCAACTTCTGCTTCTCCTCATCGACATTTTTCGGATCAGTCAAATTGTAGTCAAGGTCAATTAATGTCGGTGGCTGGTGTTTGGCGTCACGGAGACGGTTATAGAGTGGCGAATTTATGTCCGCATACATGGCGGGTATTTTCATGCCCGCCGGAGAATCCCAATTCCAAAAAGGAATTGCAAACGCTGGATCATCGAGCAGCATTCCCAAAATCTTTTCGAAGAAGTAGAGATAGAATCTATGGAAGGGAAAGAAGAGCCATGAGTTGTGAACTTGGAGTTCTGTGCTTGGAAAACCGACTTGGTGATAAGCGCCTTCGCAATAAGCGCAGTGAATATTGGATTGTTGCTTGAAGCTTCGTGGGTCGTCATCGGGGAGCGATTTCATGAGTTGGAGGGCTTTAGAAAACTTGGCTATGTATTTTTCGTCGGCTAAATGGGCCGCGGGTCGGACTCGTAAAATGTTGGAGGGAGGAGGGAGCTTGAATTCGATGATTTTGTTGGTTTTTGGAGGACAACAGTTGGTCGGTTTTGCATCCGCGGGTAAATCCGCCGCCCCGCATTTGGATAAATCCGGGGCGGTGACCGGAGCGGCCAAGGCTGGTGGGTCAGTGTCGGTGAGTCCGGCTGCTCCGTAGAGGCCTCCTAAGCCAATGACCATGTTTCTCCTATCAAACTTCCCTAGGGAGGTTTGTGTATTTTGGGAGGGGGGAGTAAGGTTTGGGTCACTATCTTTGGCTTTGCTGCATGACACATTGAAGGAATGGTTATGCTTTCTAATTGTGGGAATTTTAGAGGTGTTCTTGAAAATGGGATAAGAATAGAGGGTGGAGGAGGTGGTGGTAGTCTTGGTGGTGGTTGGAGGGAGAATGGAAGCCATAGCCTTGTTTGGGGTGTCACCATGAAGGCATGTTTGTTTATATAATGCTAGGGTTGGGGGATTTTCTCTGCATCACACCAATAGTTGTTCAAGTTGATAAAATTAAAAAATTGCATATGTTTCCGACTCCCATTGGGGTGACCCCGGTGCCGTTTGATTAGCCAGAAAATATATATATATATATATATAAGCTTATTGACTCTAATCCAAACAAGGCCTACAATGGGTGCAGCCCAAACAAATATCACACCCCTCCAATCTATATAAAGAGGGGGCATCCCAAGTGGAGGTATTGGCTCTCTCTCTCTCTCTCTACACTACCCCAGCACCTCCACCTCCACGTGGGGACCTGTGAGAGCAAGATTGAAAAAATAAATATATAAATAAATAAATTTGAGCCAATCAAAAAACAGTGGGGGTGGTGGGGGTCTAAGTCATTTTTGAAACTACAATATCAACCTAGAAGGTTATGTTGGGCATGGCCCCGTTTGATAGGGCTGTGAGAAAGTGATTACAACTTATAACTTAACAACTTATAACTTATAGTTGTGAATATAAGTTGATTTTTGACTTATAAATTAAGTTTCTCCTCCCCCACTTAAAGAATAAGTTAATATTTGACTTACAAAAAGTTATAAACTGTATTATTAAGCTGAACCAAACACATCAAAATAATTTAAATTAAGCTAAAAGCTAAAATAAGCTGAAAATAAGCCCTATCAAACAGGGCTCATGAAGGTTTGGGTTGAGTTGGAGTTATTTTAGTTATAAAAAGAAAAAATAATTTTTTTAATTCAATAAGATAAAATGTCATATTTAAATCATAATTATTTCATTTTTTTTACTCACAAAAGTCAAAAAAATCAAAAAACCTATCACAAATGAGGCTTTTTAGTCATAGGTTAAAATAGTTAAAAAGTCAATCCACATTCCAAACAAAGACATAAATGAATCACACAATTACAAGGATAATAAGATTTTGCCCTCGTTTGGTATAAAAGTTTTTGAGACTACAAAATTAAAATAGTCATAAAAAGAAAAAATAAGTTAAAAAGTCAATAAGATAAAATGTCACATCCAAATCATAATTATTTCACTTTTTTTCTCACAAAAATTTTAAAAAAAAAAAAAGCCAAAAATCCTTACCCAAACAAAAAAAATTTAGCCAAAAAGTCAAAAGCAACAAGGCCATAAATTTTGTTTTGATGGTTTAATTTTAGCAAATCTAATTATTGAATATACATTTTAATTTTTGTAATCAAATTACAAACACCCGGCACTGCTTGAACTAAAAGAAAAAATAGAAACACCGCGAGGTAGAGAAATTTTTGTATAATCAAATCTTAGAATTATTATTTTTATTTTTTTTTTGCATAATGATAAACACAAAATTTATAGAAAAAGTATATGCAAAATAATTTGGCAAATTTATTTCAAATAAAATAAATAAATAACTCATTAAAGTAACTTCTTATGTTAAAAATGCCACTATTGCATCATTGAGTTTTATGCATATAATATTTTATAAATTTATTTTTCTCTTTTTTTGTTTCTTAGGTTGGAGATTAAATGCTTATACACATTTATGCAAAACTGCAACTATAGGCAAGACTCCTAACCATGATTTTAAGTAATGGAATCGAGGTATATATTGGCATCGGAATATGTATTAGTATTGGTGATACGGTTATATGACTATCAGTCGATATATTAATGAATTATAATATACAAAGTCTCTTATATACAACGGCCGATATGTAAAATCATACTCCCAACCCTACTAAGCTATGGTTTGTGTTGGTGTAATAACTAAAAATAAATATATAATAGAGTCAAAAATAAATATTGACTAAGAATCATCACCCTGAGAAGATATCACGATATAATGTCGAATATCATTTTTTATGTAAATTTTTTGAATACTTTTCCTATTTATGTAGAATTACTCAAATTAATATATATTCCACAAGACATAACTCTGTTTCAGAATTAAGTCTCTAGCATATATTACAAGTTCAACGAATTCCCCAAATTAGGCAACATAAAATCTTTGTTGACATATTGCTCAATCTTTTGGTGAATTATTAATACATGGGTTAGTTTTACCAAATCTTTGTTTTTTCTAGCCTTGATGATAAATAACATAAAGTTAACTTTATGTGTTAAATAAAATGATTTTATTATTCATCTTTGGGTCTAAGTACATACAAAATAATATTGTTGTGACGTTTCCATCAACCATCATCATATATATAATTGAGAAATGCATAGTAGTTCGAAAGTAGAGCGGCTCAAATGCCCCAGGTGTCAAAACGACATTATTTTGACACTCTCTGTTTTTTTTTTTTTCCCCTTCTTCCTTGAACTAGTTTGAGAGAAAGAGAGAAGGAGGAAGAGAGAGAGGCGAGAGAAAGAGAGAAAGAGAGAGACGAGAGAAACAAATAGGCGAGAGAAAGAGAAAAGGAGAAAGAGAGGAGAAGCCGAAACTTGATCTTCAATTGAACCACAACCCAACCCACCGCCATGGACGGAGAGGCCGAAGCTTGATCTTCGGCTCAACTATTTTGATTTTGATTTTGATTTTGATATCTTTAGCTGTGGTTGTTTTGATTTTGTTTCGATTTGTTTTTTTTTTTTTTTGGTGGTTTTTTGGGATATTTTGCAAACTGTGCTAATTTTGATTTTGATTTTTTTTTTATTTTGATTTTGATTTTGCAAACTGTGCTATTTTTTGTGTGCTGATTTTGGCTGTGGATCTTCGGCTGAACCATTATTTTTTTGATCTCTTCTTCTTCTTCTTCTTCTTCTTCTTCTTCTTCTTCTTCTTCTTCTTCTTCTTCTTCTTCTTCCTTGGGTTTAAGAGAGAGAGAGAGAGAGAGACGGTTGTGTGGCTTTTTCAACAAATCCAAACACTAGATTTCAAAGAACTGAAAAAGGAAGGAGAAGGAAAAAGAGAGGGAAGGAAGAAGAGAAAGAAAGAACGAGAAGGAAAAAGAATAAATAAATAAATTCGGGCCATTCGAGCTCTGTGTTTTCGAGCTACGTAGTAGAGTCGTGTATAATTAATCTATTACCTAGCTACCATTCTCCTCAATTTTTTACTTATTATCTATTCCTCTTTACAAAAACAACCTTGCATTTGTCGCATGTGTTCGGTATCGTATTTGTTTGTTGTTGTTTTTTTTCATTTTTCATTTTTGAGGAACACTAAAAAGTTGTTAGTTGAATTATTTTCGAAAACAACTCACTTTGTAAGAAACATAAAAAAAAAATGTTTTGAAATTCCTTTTTTTTTTTTAAAAAAAAAAAAAAAAAAAAAAAGGGAGGTCAAGTCTTTGCAAAAAAAGTGAATGTGCCACTCTCACTAAGAAATCCTGTAATCAAACCTCATAACAATTTACAAATAGCAGTCTAAAAATTAAAGCATCCACTTCAGTCTCAACAAATTTTGAGTCAAATTATAACTCAAAATTTACTTTTGTTATTTTAGCTAGTCACATTTTTAATACTCACTACGTCAAACTCTCTATTCTAACTCAATCTTATTAAAATATTAATTTATTATTGTATTTGTTATTCTTTATTTATTTTTTTATTAAATTGATGAGGTGCCATCCAAACAATTCCTAAAATACAAAAAAAAAAAATTTCCGTTGACCCGTCGGTTGACCGGTTAGACTAATTTTCGGCATTTTTTCTTCTTCTGCTATAGGCACTCACTGGACATCCGGTGGGATATCCAGAGGGACATCCGGTTTAAAGATTTTGGCCCAATTTTGCTCCAGAAAATATAATAAAAAATCATGTAGCTAATGAACAGTGTCTCAACAAAGTTGTTGAGCTACTGTAGCAAATTTAACAAAAAGTTAATTTACAAAAAATTTGATGAGCCTAATGGAAGAACAATTTTGTGATTTACTAGCTATATTTTACCTTTTTGTTATTTTAGCTATGCTGACGCAGATACTCTAACAAAATGGTGTCAGTGGGTCATTTCAATTCCTCCTCTCATAATTTTTTTTTTTTTTTTTTTTTTCTGAAATCTTTCAATTCCATATCCACAATTTCAAATCCTTGATCTTAGTTAATTGAAATTCCAATCCAAGAACATAGTTGCAATTTATTTATATCATTTGTTGTGTCCTTGAATTAGTAAGATTTACTCATAAAATTTGTTAAAGAATCCAACACAACTGTTACAGATGAACCATATCTTTGGACATTTTTTTATATTGTTAAGTATACTATTTAGAAAGTGTTAACTAAAATTCTATAAGCCATCATCATTGACCAAAAACAGATGAAAATAAAAATATTATATAAATTATTAATAAGTTTGTAATTTTTATTTTTTATTTTTTTATTTACAGATGTAGCATGTTAGTGGGACTCATTAAAATAATTTAATAGGTACAATTTTGTGAGTAAGAAAAATTTGTACAATACAATATATTATTAGTTAAATTTGTATAATATTAATTTAAAAAATAAATCAAAATAAAATACTTGATGACTAAGATCACAGTTAGCAGTTGGTTTAGGTCAGTCTAAAGGGTCCTAAGAGTTGGTGAAACTTGAAAAACAATTTAGTATGCCAACCGTCCACATGCATTATTTTTATTTTGCAATAATTCAAAATCTTGAACATATTAAAAGGTACTCATATTTTAAGTTCCCATCAATGCTATATTTCAAAAAAAAAATAAATTTCTTTGTCTTGGTGCAATTTCTTGAGCATTTAGGTATTTTAATATGACCAGCAAGTTTAGGAATTCAAAAAAATAAATTATTATAAGCATTAGTTTGATAAAAATAAATATTAAAATAAAGCTTTTGAACATTTAAAAATTATTTTCACCCTAAAAAAATTTAACACTATAAAAATGACGAGTGTTTTTAATTTATTATTTTTTTGTTCAATTAATTTTTATTTTTATAATTTTAAAAATCAAATCAAATAGAGTCTTAGTGTATGTGTTCCATATTAATTGCAAGTGCCAAACCCATCATATAATAAGTGACTCTAAATAACAATTTTGAGATGTTTTTATTTATAAAAATGATAGACTCTAAAAATTCTACCTAATGTCTTACATGGATGTAAAACTCACACCCATATTAG